CCCCCCCCCCCCCCCTTCATCTTGGAAATTGCGCAAGCATATCTCATTCTCAAGCATTTAAAAGGCACAGGAGCGCATCCAGGCGCTCACATTCCACTCGCTCTACCAGATTACGCGCTCCTGCTTCTGAGTAAGACATTCTAGATACAACTTCTGGAATGAATAGACTGATTTGCCTGGTCTTACTTTCAAGCTTTTGGATCTTTCCCGGTGAAGGATGTAAGTTAACTCAGCTTTAGCAATGTTAGACTTACGTGCTTCTTTCAGAGTTTGATTGTTTTACCAAAATGCAGTCTAATCATGCGTTTCCTGCAGACGACCCATGCTGTGCACAGCCTTGCCAAAACCAGGGTGTGTGTTTATCTAAGGGTGCTGATGCTTATGAATGTGACTGTACCAGGACAGGATATTATGGTGAAAACTGCAATACCCGTAAGTCTGGCCATGGATTGTTTTTACATAGAGGAAAATTTTACATGTGTAAATGTGTGCACTTAACACAGTTTTTTCTTGCTTCACAGCCGAGCTTCTCACATTTGTCAAATCAACTCTGAAACCAAGGCCAAGCATAGTGCATCATATTTTAACGCATTATAAATGGATCTGGGACATCATCAACAACATCTCTTTCCTGAGAGATGCCATAATGAGATATGTCCTGATATGTAAGTTAAATGAAGTCGTTTTGGAGTAGATTCATAGAAAAATTTGACTAAATAAATACGTAAAATAAAACTATTCCTCTTTCTTGTTTTACAGCAAGGTCCCATTTGGTCAACAGTCCACCGACGTACAATGCAGATTATAACTACAAAAGCTGGGAAGCGTATTCTAACTTGTCCTATTACACCCGCACCCTCGCCCCATTGCCCCAGAACTGCCCTACGCCCAATCTCCCAAATGCAAAGCAGGTGGTGGAGAAGGTGCTGGTGAGGAAAAGGTTCATCCCTGATCCACAGAGGACCAGTCTCATGTTTGCTTTCTTCGCCCAGCATTTCTCTCACCAGTTCTTCAAGTCAGACTTTAAAAAAGGACCAGCTTTCACCAAAGCCCTGGGCCATGGGGTAAGTGGCATTAACTAACCATGTTATTTGGGAAAATTTTACATCCCATCCAAAGTATATAAGCAATACAATTTCTAAAAGTTCTCTAACGTTTTAGGTGGATTTGGGGCATATTTATGGAGAGACACTGGAGAGACAACACAAACTTCGCCTATTTAAAGATGGAAAGCTGAAGTATCAGGTTTGTGGACATTCAAATAGACATCAAAATGGCACTTAAAGGGATATTTCAACCCAAAATGACAACTCTGTCATCATTCACTCACCCTCATGTTGTTTCAAATGTGTATGATTTCATTCTTTTATGAAGCACAAAAGAGGACATTCTGAAGAACCATTTTTGTCCATACAATGATAGTCAGTAGGGACCAAAACAACATTGGACCCCACTGACTTTCATTCTTCAAAATATGTTGAAGAAAGAAAGTACAGGTTTAGAATGACATGAGGGTAATTGATGGCCGAATTTTTGTTTTTGGGTGAACTATCATTTTTAAATGGACACAAGTATTGCTTGTTGGTTTAATGTGAAAACCTAAATGAAAAATGTATTTGACTCTTAGGTTGTGGATGGTGAGGTGTATCCTCCGTTGGTGAAGGATGTCCAGGTGGAGATGCACTATCCTCCTCATATCCCAGAAGAACAGAGATTCGCTGTGGGCCATGAGGTCTTCGGTCTGGTTCCAGGTTTGATGATGTATGCTACCATTTGGCTTCGTGAGCACAACCGTGTCTGTGATATCATGAAGCAAGAGCATCCCGACTGGGACGACGAGAGGATCTTCCAAACCACTCGTCTCATCCTGATTGGTGAGTCTTGGTCGCATCATCTAAAACATTCCTAATCTTCAAAACATTGTGGAGGGGTTAAATATTCCAGCTTTTTGCTTCTAGGTGAGACCATCAAAATCGTGATCGAGGACTATGTTCAGCACTTGAGTGGCTACCACTTCAAGCTCAAGTTTGACCCAGAGCTTCTCTTCAATGAGCGCTTTCAGTACCAGAACCGCATCGCATCCGAATTCAACACTCTGTATCACTGGCACCCTCTGATGCCTGACAACTTTCAGATCCAGGACCAGGTCTACGGCCACCACCAGTTTGTGTTTAACAACTCTATTTTAACCGAACACGGCATCCGCAACATGGTGGAATCCTTCACTAAACAGAGGTCTGGAAGGGTGAGTTTCACTTACAGATAGAAAGCTTCTCA